TCTAAAATGACAATTATTTGTCTTATGATTAAAATGGGGGTTGTTGGTTTGGTTTTATATACTATGTTTGAGACTCTCTGGAGACCTCATGGTCTGATTCCAAGAAAAGGGACATCTTCGGCTCCCTGGTGTCAGGAATTCCCGACTCGGCAATGTAGGTGATTCTTTGCGGTGGGGGCTATCGTGGACTGTGGGATGTTCAGCTGCATCCCTGCCTCTCTCCCCCCCCATGCCAGCCACGCTCCCACCCCCAGTTATGACAACCAAACCTGTCTCCAGATATCACCAATGCCTCCCAGGGGGGCAACATCGCCCGAGTTGAAAACCACTGTCCCGAAATAAGGGACACTTTCACATTCAGATCCTCAACTTTCTCATTTAACACACTCATAAGATTTTTAAGAAATGTGAATAATAACAGCAAAGGCTGTGAGGTCAGACCCCAGGGCAAAGCTGCCCCATCGGTCCCTGGCCACAAATGGCCACGAAGCCTCAAGCACGTGCACAAAACCCTCCCCCACCCCGAGGGTGTCCATCTGCAGAAAGGGGGGAACTGCCCCAGGGAGAAGGGGCTCCCGCCCCCGTGGCCGGTCCTGAAGCTGCAAGGCCCTTCCTCAGGCAGGGGTCTGGGCCACAGGTCGCTACCCCTTTCTGGCTGGAGTCCCCGGGCTCAGTGACTCAGCTGGTAGTGATGCTCTTCCTTACAAAAGAGGGTGGATTCCAGTGATGCAAGAGCTGGAGCCCGAATGTACGGCAGAGAGCTGATCTGAGCGATCCCCCGGCAGGGGTGGGGACTCGGGGCCTTGGGGCCACATGAGACCTTCTGGATGCTTGAGTGCAGCCTTGCGTCTGCATCCAAACTTTACAGAACCCATCCTTTTATTAAAAGGGGTGCAGCAGAGAAAGATGAAGCTTCTCTTGCCTCTTTGGTGCTTCAAAAAGAACAATCTTGAAACCAGGAGGCCGCAGGTTCCCCGCCCCTCACTGACTAATGGAGAAGCTCTCACTTTCTAGAAATCTCCGCACTCACCAGTGACTACTACATCATGCCTGTTAGGGTGAGGCGGGGCCTCGGTGTTTCCCGGTCCAGTTTGTCTGGTGGGGACAGGAGCCAGGACGGTCCACGCTATTCACCCGGCGCTCCGCCCAGGCCCCAGAGGCCCCAGGTGGGCGGCAACCTGAGGCCATCGCAGCCCTTCTTGGGGAATTTCCTTGGCCAGGTCCGCATCGTCCAAGGGCAGGTATTTTTCAGGTGAGTGGGAATGGGTGTAGACAGGAAGAAGCCGGCCGGCAAGAGAGTCATAGGATTACAAAATTGGGAGGCGCCTGAGAAATTGTCCATTTTGCTAAAGGCAAAACTCAGGCCCCAAGAGGGCGGAGGGCGAGGGATCCTGGCAGCGAGGAAGATCTCACGACCGTGCCCGTTTCTCAGATGAGGAAGGAGAGACCAGAGAGGCAAAGTTAGTTTCCTGAGAGAGCTCAGCCAGCCAGGGGCACACCTGAGGTCTGACTCCCAGGGTGGTGCCATCCCCTGGCTGAACAGACAGGCTTGGCTGGGGCCATCGCCCGGGGTGCGGGCAGAGTACTGGGTTAAAGCCTTTTTAGCAGAAAGTCCAGCTGTGTAATCCAGGCAATCCCACCTGGCATCTGGGCCAGCTTCCTCTGGGCAGCACACACAGGAAAGAGGCTACTGGATGGCACCGCCAGGGCGTCCGGTCAAGACGGGAGGCACATCAGAGTCATTAAAAATCATTAAGATGGTTGGGCTCTGAGGTCAGGTAAGGAGGGTAAACAAACTCTGGAGGAACCCGTTCTGCATTTTCCTGCAACTGCTGCATTGCTCCAAGCCAAGCACCCAAACAGCCAGACTCCCAAGGACCTGCCTCGGGGCTCCAGGGTCTCACTTAAGACGGGGGATCCACGGGCAGCTCTCCATGCCGCCACGACTCCAGGCAACAGCTTTGCAAGGGCGTCGGGGACGTGGCTCCTTTTCAGTGGTCTTTTACAAATGGACAGGACAAAAGGCCCACCCAAAGAGAGGTTCTCGGGTCACCTTCCCTCGAAAAGTCCCCAAGCCTGTCTTTGGGAGCCGATACACACAGATGCTGATGGAGAGATGGACTTCTACACGGGACAGACCACTCCCGCTTGTATCCCTTCATCCGTCACCATCGAGAGACCGCCAGCCACCAGGGCAGGGACCACGTCCCAGCAATCACGGCTGCTCCCATCTGCTCCCTGCACCAGGCATTTTACATGCATTATCTTTAATCCTCATAAACAGCCCTGCAAGGGAAATATTATTATCCTGATTATACAAATGAGAAAAGCGAGGGCTGCAGAGTTGAAATGACTCGCCGGAGGTCATGCTTGGTAAATTGCAGGGACCTATTGGACCTGAGCTTCCCCTTCCCCACAGGTCTAGGCCTCCTTCTCTTTCTGAATAATTGGGAGCGGCCGGACCTCACACGTAGGTGTTGACTGCTGCTTTGGAGAATAAATGAATGAGTGAGTAAATGGGTAGAATGAATTTGGAAACTTAAATTGCTTTATCTGAGTTTTCAAAGATGAGTCCATCGCGAGGCTATGGAGAAGAAAACAGACTGTTGATTAAATAGTCTCTTGGATTTTTGAACTCAGTGAAAACAATCTCTAAATGATACCGTGGCTTTTGACCCATTCTTAGCACAACAAAAATATCTTAATTAAAGTTTATTCCCAAGCCAACTCTTCCTTCTTAAGAGACAGAGAAAGGATGTTCACTGAGCAGCTACTACATGTACACACACCCTTCTGTGCAGATCAGTAATGCTGCAAAAGAGGGCGGAGGAGGAGACTGAGGTTCACAGTGGTTTGTGTGACTTGCCTGAGGGCATACAGCTTGGTGAAGCCAGGAAGGTCAAAGGCCAAGACTGTGTGTGTCCACACGTGACCTACTCACACTGCCCTGAACACCCTTCAGCCCCCAACCAAGCTTTCACTCTTGAACTTGGCGATCTGCAAGGGACCTTTTCCCCAGCACCACCCTTGTGCGGTGGGACTTCTCAATATGCCTGTGCTTGGAACCCCAGAGCAGAGACACCCAAAACAAATCGATAAAGAACCCAAAAGTCTAGAAAGAAATTGCTCTGTTTTCAGCATTCATCAAGTTTGGGGTCATTTCAAAAAACTGAAATCCAGTCGTACCTTGCGGTTTTCAGTATTGACTTTATTTCTAACTGCAGGTGGAGCGTGGGGAAGAGAACCCAACTTTCTCAGTATGAAGGGCCACAGCACCCACCCTTGCCTCTCTGGACAAATGGGCCTTCGCCCACACAGACGTTTCCAGTGCAGGAAGGGAGTTTGCATCCGCCGGTTCCTCCGGGGGCTCCACCTAGGGCTGCAGCCCACTCCGCCTCTCGGAAGAGCCTGTCTCTCCGGGCTCTGTGCACACACGCGCAACGGCCCCCCACGCCCCCAATCCGAGCAGCCCCACCCCCTCCCACACCCCCACTCCTGCCCCGGGACCTGCGAAGGCAGGCAGGGGAGGCCGGGCGTCCCGGCCCCAAGGCCAGCCTGAAGCCGCCAGGGGAGTCCTTGGCGAGCGGCCACCCCAGCGGCGGCTGGAACCTGGCTACTCCTGCGCGTGCAGTCGGAGCTGCCGAGAGCAGATTCCAGCTCTGAACTGGGCAGACAATCCCCTTGTGTTTTCCCACCTTCCCACCCCAGCTGCCAGGAGCCCGCCCAGCCTGGGAGATGCTGAATAGGCCATTTGTTGTGAGATCAAAGGGCCACCTGCGGGAAGCGCCCGCCGCCTGGAGCAGGCCCAGGCCACGTCCTGCCCGGCGCCCGCAGCCCCACCTCCTGCCAGAGCCTGGGCTTCTCAAACAGCCCACCTTGGCTGGGGCATCGCTCCACCCGCACCTCCCACTCACGTCTCCCTTTCGAACAACTCCCAACCGCCCTCCTCAGGTGCCACCTCCCACAGGCCTCCGCCTTTCCGCGTTTGCCGTCCCCTCTACTTGGCATGCCCTTCCTTGCCTGCTGCCCCAGACCCTCATCTTGTCCTCACCCTCATCCCGAGCATCAGTCGGCTCCCCCGGGGCCATGCAGGGCTCCCAGAGCACGGGCGGGCTCCATGGCACTGCCGGTGCCCCGCCCGGGCTGGGCCGGGAGCCCCCGCGACCAGGCTGGCCCAGAGCCCGGGCACCGTCCTGGCCTTGGCTGGCGCCCAGTGCTGGTGGACTGAGCAGGAGGCAGAGAGCACGTCCCCCGCCTCTAGGGGGGGTAAAGAGTGGGTGAATGGGCGCTTCGCGGAACATATCTGGAAGTGAACTCAGGCGGGAAACGCCACTGCCCCCGCCTCTGGCCGCTGCTGCTTTGCCCCTCCCGTCAGCCCACGCCAAACCAGCATCCTCTCTTCCAAATGCCAGTCTGGGCATGTCACACACCTTGACCTCAAACAGGCCAGTGTCCCCCCACCCCCAGTGCTCTTGGGGTGGGGACCGAAACCTTACCCAGCCTTGAGCCAGCCAGACGCCCAGCATTCGGGGTCCAGGCACCTGCTTGTGCTACCTTTCTGTTTTTCCCTCTTTCTCACCCCGTCCCTGAGTCTGCCTGTGACGTCCTTGAGCCAGGAGCCCGGCAGTCACTGAACATGCCTGGCCTTTCCCTGTCAGAACGACCAAAAGCTTGGCAGAGGGAGTGCAGGCAGGTGGCAGGTGGGCTCCATGTGGCCTGCGGTGACTGCTACAGGGGATGATCCCTCTCTGCACCGCCCCCCACCCACCTTGCACCCCTTGGCCCACACCCCCACTCCAGCCGCTATGGCGCTCTTTCAGGCCCTCCTGCCACAGGGTCTTTGCACATGCTGCTCTCTCCTCTGGGGATGCTGCTGCCCAGTGTGGCCTTCTGACCTTCAAAAATCTCTGCTCGTGGCCTCCCCCACCAGGGAAGACCTCACTCCCACCAGCATCCCTCTCTCTTCCGAGCAGTGCTCTGATTAACGACAGGCTCCCTTGCTGATAGGTAAGCCCCTTGGGAGCAGGACTTCAACAGTTTGTCCACAGGGCTGGGCACATAGGAGTGTTCAGTGCACACGCGTGCGTGGTCGGCCACCCCTCCTGGTAGACTACCCCCGGAGAGTCAACTCCCGGAGATTCCAGGAGGCTCTCAAGCACTGGATCACCTCGGTACCTGTCTGCCTCTTGCGTCTGGGGCCTCCCAGGGGCAGGGAGTGTGATTCGCCCACCTGCTCCCTCAAGACGGCCATGGGAGGAGCCCCCGCAGCTTGGATTGGGGGTGATGGCAGGAACAGCGGCTCCCGTGCCAGGATAGTCCACACCCCCTGACGTTCCGTCCTTGCCCACTGCCCCACAGCCCCCAGCGGTGGGGGCCAGCCCCGAGCCTGGGCAGACCTGGCTCTTGCTGCCTCGTGTCGTTTTCCTTTGGCCCTGCCTCGGCTCTTCCGGCCGCACCTTTCCTGGCGGTAAACCCGCAACTGTGTCAGCGGTGAGTTGTGGCCAGTGGGGCCGCGGAGGATGGGGACCCGCTCTCCTGCTGGGCAAGAAGTGCCCCTGATCCTTGACGGAGAGGGAGCGGCCTGGAGAGGGGCCGTTTCCTCCACGCCAGCTCCAGCTGGGCTCCCGGCCCTCGCCTGTGAGACGGAGAAGAATGGACCCAGGATCAAGTCATCACCACGGCCTCGGGGGCCCATCTCAGGGGCTCTGGATTTCCTCCTGGGCCCCCCAGGGGACAGCGCTCGCCGCCCTGGGCGCCCCCACGTGTCAGCTACTCCCGTTCACGCCGGCCCGTTCCAGCAGGGCTGGGATCTCTTTGCCCCTGTGTCCGTTCACCCATTACCGCACCTGGCCTTGGTTCGGCGCCCTGTCCTGGCTGCGCACCAGCACTCAGAGGTCAACAGCACCTGCGGCCCAGTGGGGGTCAGATCCTCACCTTCCCCAGGCAGCGGGCCGGGAGCCCTCACAGTGGGGGCCCTGCCGCGAGGAGACAGTCATTCAGAGTGTGGGTCGAGCTCAGAAACGGTTGCCAAGCAGTCCCGTGCGGCGGACCGCATGGGGCAGCCCAGCACACGAGGGAGGGCAGGGCTCCCACAAAGCTAAGAAATTTCTTCTCTCTCTCGTTCACATTCCCAGATCCCAAAGGGCCAGTGTTGAAGGCACAGAGAGTATTCAGAACGCAGGTCTCCCCGCTGTCTCCATCCCGCTGGATGATGGGGTCTGGCTGCCGCGTTCCCAACGTGCCCATGCGTCACACACAGCCACGCACACGGTCACTCGGCGGACGCGCACTGAGTGCTCGCTCAACCGACGAGTGCACAGCCCATCGTCTGTGTCCAGGTGCTCGTGATACTAGCAGCGACAGCAGCTTTCACCTGCCTGTGCCTCCCCACGTGCCCTTCTCCGCGAGCCGCACGCCTGGCACCAGGTGACGCCCACCAAACGCACTGAGGGAGGCGCGGCCGCTGCGTTTCGCAGGAGAAGAAATGAGGAGTTGGAGGCAGTTGCCCAAGGGCACGGGTTTGGGGACGTGGAACCGGGTCTGTCTGACTGTGCGACACTGGACCCCCACACTGGTTCCCATTTCACAGGCTGGGCAAGCTGAGGTCACGTGCCTTGCCCTGGGCGAGCACGGTTAATTCAGCAAAACCTCCAAGGCGAGAAGACTGGTTTTACCTGGCAAGGATTCCAGGTGCAGAAGCTCCTTTCATCATCCATAACCCTTTCCACACGGATTTTCCAGGGACCCAGGGGCTGACCGGCTCCTGCACCAGCCCCAGCCCAGCCCCGTCTGCGAGGCTTGCTGAGGACGAGCAGGCCCCGCGGCCCTGTCTGCCAAAGTCCCGGCCACCAGGAAGGGCCTGGCAGCCCTGCCCTGCCCCGCGGGAGACGGCCTCCCAGCAGGTCGCCCATAGCCTGAGAGGTGAGAGCGAGGGAATCCAAGCCAGGCCCCCGCCCGCTCCAGCCCCGCCAGGTCTTGGCTTTATGAGAGCACAGGGCTCATAGAGGCTTCACAGACACAGGCCTGAGCTCACACTGTGTGAGGCTGGGCGAGCCGCTCACCTCCCTGTGCCTCAGTTTCCACACCCAGACCTTCTGAAGAGCTGGGAGGAGGAAGGGAGATGGCAACATCAACAGCCCAGCTTCAGCAGACTCTCCGGGGGCGGCTCAGAAACGCCAGGTGAGGCCACCTGAGCATGGGCCTGGAGCTGTGCTGACGGACCCTCAGGACACCCTGGTGGGAAGCCGGGCTGGGCACACGCGGAGAAGACCCCGTGCCCCACCAGCAGCAGAGCACCGGGGCAGGGCAGCCCCTCAGGCTCAGGCCAGGCCTCGCCTCTCTCTGACGGTACCCCGGGCTGGGGGCTGTGCCCTCCACCCCTCCACCCTCCCATCAGTTAGCCAGCCCGTCCTTCCTCTGGCTAGAGCCCCGGGCCCCTCCCTCCCTTCTCCTCTGCCCTGGATCCAAACTCCGTCACGCCTCGCCTAGTCCAACACGGTAACCCCCAACGGGTCCCCAGCTCCGATCCCCCCAGTGCAGCCCACCTGGCCGCCGTCCTCCTCCCAGAACAGGGCTCAGCTCCCACTGCCCCCCAGTGGACGCTCGTGTCCCTGGAGTCAGAGACCCCTCACCCTCAAGGCTCCCGTCCAGGAGACCCCTGCTCTTCACCTGCACACCCCTCTCCTACCCTCCCCCTCTCCTACCCTCGGCTGCTGGAGCGTCCCCCTTCCCCAGCCCCGGCCTGCTGTGGCCAGCTCCGCAGGTGCAAACTGGGCCCACCCGCAGGCCACCGCAAAGGCCACGCCCCACGGAGGAACAGCCCTTTGCCACTGGTGAGCTCCCGCTGCATGCCACAGCCTGACCTGATGGCCCCAGGGCCACATGGGGCAGGGTGAGGGGCCGTTCTGGGGAAGGGGAGAGAGGTGGTTGGGTATTTATCCCGCAGTCCCCTGCCTGGGCCACACTGCACCTGCCCCAGCTGGCCCTGCCTCCGTCCCAGGAATCTCACCTTCTTCACATCCTAACTTCAGGCCTGGCGACCTGGGGCACTGCACTGTCTCTTAGGATTTCCCTTCCCCTGCTCACCCTTTGCAGATGCCAAATCCGTTAAATTCTCCCCAAATGACCCAATTTGAGGGTGTCCTATGTCCTGCCAGGGCCTGACCAATACACATTAAATGGCCACGTTGAAAAGCCTTGCTTCACTCCGGTAGATGCCGCTGCCTCTCCATCCAGCTCCCAGGCACCACTCTCTCCCCCGGAGACACAATTTCCTAGACGTCCGAGAAGTCCGGGGTGGACTCAGCTTCTGGAAGCAGGATAGCAAGGCAGGCCGGGCACCGCTGGAGCCCATGTCCCTACCGAGGGCAGGGGTGTGTGAATGTCCCCGGTACTGTGAATGCCCACGTCTGGAAAACACATCTGTGGCCCCCAGAGTGGCAGGGAGGCTGGGGGAGAGAGCCCCAGGGAGAGGCAGGACAGTAGGACAGAGGTGTGGGAATGTCCCTGAAGCATCCGAGACAACGGAGGCCCTGGAGAGAAGAGAGCGCAGGGGGCCAGACGTGGTCCCCTCCATACCCATCAGGGTCTCTCCGGGGGGCTGCAGGAAAGGCGAATGTTCTCAAAGCCCCCAAGATGACTGTGACAAGCAGCTGGGCTCGGTGAACAAATGACTTGGAATTCCTACCATCCCTGAGTGCTCAGTTCCACGATCTACTACTAGTCAGAGTCGAAGAGGATTCCAAGTTCTAATTCTACTCTGGTCCTTGCAAGAGCCCGGAAGGAATTTGACGGGAGTATGTCATAACCACCCGGAACCTCCTCTTTGGTCTCCCCAGCCACCCTGCACTCTGAAGAAGCTTTCCCCAAGCTCAGACTTTATGAAAATCCCTGCATTCAGGCTCCAAAGAGGCCGGGGCCTCATTGCGACACCCAGGCCCTTCTCCAGCACAGATTCCATGTGAGTTTCATGAACCGATAAGCGCATGTTTGAATTAATACCAATATTTACTGGGGTTGAACAAGAATCCACACCAACGTGTATCTCTGGGCTTCATCTGCGTGTCCCTTATGGAGTTATTAAAACACCTGAATATAATTTTAATAATCAGTGGGATTTTAATTAACGCAATCATGATCCCCATTCAATGGAATGCCTCGGATTCAAAAAGTAATTACTCATTCACGACACTTAATTTGAAGTGTTGCCACAGATTTGTATCTCCTGAAGCCACAAGAAGTTAGATCATCCTATTTCTTGTTAGAACTTATAAAGCAGGTTCACTTCAGAGAGAGGACGGAGACCAGGTTCCTGGAGAGGGGGAAGAGCCGGAGCCAGCTGGGTGGCCTCCGAGGAGGGAAGCCGAGTGTGGTCTCCAGAGAGAGAGGACCCGGTGGCATGGCCCAGCACGCTCCCTGCCCCGTGCCCGGGTCCCCAGTGCCGGACCCTTGCAGGGATGGAGAGCTCATGACCGGCAGAAAGAAGAGGGGACCTGTGCCACCTTACACAGCCACTTCTCTCCAAATGTCCGTTTCCTCCTCTACCCAGTGGAGGGAGCGGGGTCTCGCCCTCCTGCCCCCTTGTCGCCGTGAGTGGAAGCCAACTGGGTGCTGACCTCTCCAGACAGAGGGACCGTCCACCATGGACCTGGAAAATGTCCTGGGGCCACCACTCCGGGGGACACCGGCAGAGCCCCCAGGGTGTGGGTTGGTAGAGGGAAGCAGAGCCCAGGGCGACTTTGACCAGCAGAGGCACCTCCCGCTGGCCCTCGCGCACTCAAAGCTGCACATGGTCAGGTCCGAAGCCTGGGGGCTCAGGGAGCTGCAGGAGCCGAGAGCTGAGCCCGTGGCCATTCCCAGGGCAGGGTCACACTGAGACGAAAAGGGACAGCCCTTTACTTGCTCAAGGTAGCCGTGCAAAAGGAGACCTGCGCGGGGATGGCCTCTGCCAGAGGACCCAGGAGAGCGGACACTCAAGTTAACATACACACCAGTTACCGGGAACAGCCTACTGATTTGCATGTGCTAGGAAGACAATTATTTTGAATTTTATCATTCCACCAAATCTTTTCCACCTGCATAAAAATCATCCACACACTGACAGCTCGGAATAAAATTTGGAAAAAGCACCTGGCTTGCTTCAGAGCGGTGGCTCCCAACCAGGACAGTTGTGTGCACATTTGGCCAAGCCTGAGAGCTGCTGGCATCTGATGTGCAGAGGACAGAGATGCCCTCTAGACAAGTGAACTTTCGTAGTTTGCCCACTTCATCTAAGTCATTGGCTTTGCTGGCAAAAAACTTATAATAATGTTCCCTGGTTAGCCCTTTAATATCTGTAGAATTGGTAGTGACGTCACCTCTCTTATTCTTGATACTTGTAATTTGTTTATTCTCCCTTTTCTCCCATGTCAGGCTGACTACAGTTTCAATTGACATTGTCAAAAAAAAGTTTTTGGTATGACTGATCTTTCCTATAGATTTATTTCTATTGGTTTTCCATTTCTTTGATTTCAGCTCCTGATTGTTCTTATTTCCATTTTATCCTGCTTAAATTTGGATTCATTTTTTTCTTCTTTAAGTAGTTTTTAAAGGTAGAAGCTGAGACAAATGACTTGAGAACTTTCTTCTTTTTCTGTTATATGTATTTAAAGCTACAAATTTCCCCTAAGTGCTGCTTTAGCAGCATTCTATAAATTTTGATGTATTTTTATTTTTATTCAGTTTAAATTACTTTGTGATTTTCCTTTTGATTTCTTCTTTGACTCATGGATTATTACAAGGGTATTGTTTAGTTTCCAAACACGATTGGCTCTCTGTATCTGGGGGTTCACATCCATGGATTTGACCAACCATGGATTGAAAATATTTAAAAAAGAAAAAAAGATTGCATTTGTATTAAACATGTATAGACTTAGTGTTTTTTTTGACATTATTTCCTAAACCATACAGTATAATGATCTATATGGCATTTACATTGTCTTAGGTATTATAAATAATCTAGAGATGATTTAAAGTATATGGGAGGATATATGGGAGGATCTGTGTAGGCTACATGCAGATACTGTGCCATTTTATGTCAGAGACTTGAGCATCCAGATTTTGGTATCTGCTGGAGAGGTCCTGAAACCAATCCCCCACAGATACCAAGCAGCGACTGTACTTGACAATTTTCCAGATGTCTTTGCATTATTAACGTTTAATTTAATTCCATGTGGTGAGTGAAAATGTTTTGTGTGACATGGATTGTTGAGACTTGTTTCCTGACCCAGAATATGTTCTAGTTAGGTGACTGTTTCATTTGTACTTGAAAAGAATGAGCATTCCACTGTTATTGGGTGAAATGTTCTACAAATGTCAATTAGGTCAACTGGTTGATAGGGTTCTTCAGGTATTATTAATGATTTTCTGTCTACTTGTTCTGCCAATTATTGAAAAGGGGATATTGAAATCTACAACTAAACTTGTGAATCTGTTTATTTCTTCATGCAGTTCTAACAGTTTTGCTCCATGTATTTTGATGTTTTGTTACTAGGTACATAAATATTTAGGATTATTATGTTTTTTGATGAATTAACCCCTTTTCATTATGAAATGATCATCAATATCCCTTTGTTATTCTTTGCTCTGAAATATCCTTTGTCTAATTATTAATGTAATCCCACTTTCTTTTGTTTAGTGTTAACATGGTATATTTTCCCATCCTTTTACTTTAAACTATTAGTGTCTTTATATTTAAAATGGGTTTCTTGTAGGCAGCATAAAGTTGGGTCTTATTTGTTTCTTTAAAAAATTAAGCTGACAATTTCTGCCTTTTAATTGTGGTGTTTAGATAATTAATTTTAATGCCATTATAGATATGATCAGGTTTAAATCTTGCTATCAGTTTTCTATTATTCTTATCTGTTATTTGTCCTTTTTACCTTCTTTTCTGCTTTCCTTTGGATTGAGTATTTTTTTAATGATTCCATGTTATCTCCTTTTGTTTATTAGTTTATTAGTATAACTTTTTGTTTAGCTATTTTAGTAGTTGCTTTATGGTTAATATGCATCTTTAATTTATTATGGTCTACTACCACTTTATATATAGTATGAGCTGCTTATAACGGTATACTTCTTTTTTCTTTCCCTCCTGGCATTTGTGCTATTGTTGCCATACATTTTGTTTTTACATGTATGTAAAATAACATGTGTTATTAAAACCCAACAATATATTGTTACTAGTTTTCCTTTAAGCAGCCAAATTCTTTTTAGCGTTTTAAATAAGAAAGTTGCTTTTACATTTACCCACATAGTTTATTGTTTCTGATGTTTTCCATCCCTTTAGAGATATAGGTTTCCATCTGGTATCATTTTCCTTCTTCATGAAGGATTTCCTTTAACATTTCTTATAGCACAGGTTTGCTTTTGATGAATTCTTTCAACTTTTGTATGTCTGAAAAAGGCTTTATTTTGCCTCTACTTACTGTAGCACAGTCTCAAAGTATCAACAAATCTGTCAACAATTCCCTTTTTCCCTTTTACTATACTCCAAGACTCTAAGAGGATGCAAGGAGTGGAAGGATTTAGAATTATTTCTCTTGTGCAGAATATTTTACAAGGGCATAGAGGAATCTGCAAGTGTCTGCCATCCACTGAGGCAGGAGCCTATGTGGCTAACTGTCATGAATCAGAAGACGTATAATTTTAAGATAGCAATTTTCTCCTAATTGATTCAATGCTATTCCATTCAAAATCCCAATTTCTTGTAGAAATGAACAAGCTAACTCTAAAATTTGTATAGACATGAAAAGAACCTAGAATAGCAGACACAACTGTTAAAAAGAAGAACATAGTTGGGAGACTAACACTATCTGACTTCAAGACTTATTATGAAGCTACCGTAATTAAGACAATATGGCACTGGTGTTTAGATAGACAACTAGATTATAGTTGAGAAATCAACTCACATATATATGGTTGTTTGATTTTCAACAGAGATATAAAGGTAATTTAGTGGGGAAAGGACAGTCTTTTCAATAATGGTACTAGAACAATTAAATAATTATGTGCAAAAAATATATAAATTTCAGCTTAGGTGTGGTGGCTCATGCTTGTAATCCTAGCACTCATAACCATATTGACAAATATCAGAATAATTATGCCAAGTGAAAGAAGCCAGATGTAGAAGAGTACAAACCATACAACTTGATTTCAATAAAACTCTAGAGAATGCAAACTAATCCATAAGCACAGACAGCAGATCAGCGGTTGCCTGAGGCTGGGGCAGAGGGAGTGAGACAGGGAGGGACAGGAGGAAGAGATTACAGTGGAGTGTGAAGAAACATTAGCAGGTGATTGATATGTTTGCTATCTGAGATATACTGATGATTTCGTGGAGGTATACATATGTCCCAACTTAAATTGTGCACTCTAGTCTTGCATGGTTTACAATGTGTCCATTATACATCACTAAAGCTGTTTAAAAAAATTATACTGTACACGGGCTTTTTGAAATCACAGCCCCATCCTTTTCACCTGAATTACTTACGTGGGTCTTACACCGTTGGAGAACTTCCAAATGAATGAACGTCTTGGTGTTTCTGCCCGTCATTCTATATCACAAGTTGAAAAAAGATCCTCATCACAGACAAGTGTCCTTGCAGCTGGCTCTGACATTTCACTTGCAACCCTGCCCTTCTATTCTGATTCTGTGCAACTCACGTTCCACTTTCTGCCCAAACAGCTCTGGACGTTTCTTCAGAACATGGAGCTCAGACACAATTGCAGCTCCAGGCTCACATGCAGCATGTGCATTCTGGTACTGTCTGCTCACAAAGAAGACTGTCTCTGCCCACATCCATCAGACTGCCGGCCCTGCCAACAGGTAAGACAGCTGTGTACAAAGTTGGTACAAACATGCATGCATGCATGCGGGCAACAAAAGAAGAATAGACAGATTGGACTTCATGAAAATGTTAAAACTTTGTACAACAAAGGACAATATCAACAGAGTTAAAAAGGCAGACCACAGAATGGGAGAAAATATTCGCAAATCATATATCTAGGGGATTACTACCCAGAATGTACAGGGAACTCCTAAAGCCCAACAACAAAAAACCAACTAGATTCAAAAATTGCAAAGGGCTTGAATAGACATTTCTCCAAAGAACATAAACAAATGGCTAATAACACACACAAAAAGAGACTCAACACCACTAATCGTTAAGGAAATGCACATCAAAACTACAAGATAACAACTTACACCTGTGACATGAAACCGTAAGTAAGAACCAAACCTCTCCACATGCCATGGCCTCCCCGTAACTGGTAGAGATGCCAAATTCTTATAACAGCAACAAGGCAGCCATGACGGGTGACTGAAGAGTGGTCACGCACCCTTTGTTCCCAGAGAGGGCAGTGCCAGGAAAAAGTCTGGGCCTCTGAGACATCATGGCTGGAGAACTCCTCCCACCAGCCTCCTGCAAGGGGCGTTCAACAGAGACCTCTGGTTTGGGGCTGAAAAGCTACCCAGTCAGGACTCAGTTATTGTCGACCAATCTGGACTGAACCAGTTTAAATCTTCTGTTTGCAAATACAGACCTGATTGGGGACCAGAGCAGGAAATGTGCCTATTTAAGCCAGGTGCCCCCTTTGCTCCCTGGAGCACACTTTCCTTTCGTATGGGAGGCTATGTCTCCCCAGTCTGCAGATAGTTTAATATAGAAAATAAAGCTCTCTCTTTTTCCTCTGTAGAGCTCATGGTCTTTTGTTAACATGCCCATTGGGATGGCTACCATCAAAAACAAAAAAAAAAAGTCCCAGAAAATAACATGTGTTGACAAGGATGTGTAGAAAATGGAACTCTAATACTCTGCTGGTGGGAATGTAAAATGGTGCAGCAACTGTGGAAAACAGTGTGACAGTTCCTCAAAAAATCAAAGATTGAATTATGTGATCCAGCAATTCCACTTCTGGGTATGCTATGATCTGAATGTGTGTGTCCCCTCAAAATTCATCTGTCAAAACCTAATCCCCAGTGCAATGCTGTACAGGGAAGGCCTTGGAGAGGTGAACAGAGCAATCCACCCTGGTGAATGGGGCTAGCGTCCTCATAGAAGAGGCTGAGGAAGTTTGCTCCCTCTTACCGAGCGAGGACACGGCTAGAAGTTGCCATCTGTAAGTAACAGGCCCTCACCAGATGCCAAATCTGCGGGCACCTTGATCTTGGACTTCTCAGCATCCAGAACCGTGAACAATAAATTTCGAATTTATTGTTTACAAATTACCCAGTCCGAGGTATTTTGTTATAGCAGCCTGAATGATCTAAGACAGGGTGTAGACCCAAAAAGAATTGAAAACAGGCTCTTGAAGAGAGATTTGTACACCTATGTTATTCACAATAGGGGAAACATGGAAGCACCCCAAGTGTCCATTCGTGCAGCAGCCCACAACCTTTTTGACACCGGGGATTGGCTTCATGGAAGACAATTTTTCCACGGACTGGGGATGGTGGGGTGACATGACGTAGGGGGTGCAGAGCTCAGGCAGTGATGCACGGCTCTTTCCTAACAGGCCACAGACCAGTACTGGGCCATGGCCACGGGGTTGGGGACCGCAGCATGAATGGATGAATGGATAAGCAAAATGTGATATGTACATACAATGGAACATTGTTCAGCCTGAAAGAGGAAGGGAATTTTGACACATGCTACAACATGGATGACTCTTGAGGATGTTATGCTAAGTGAAATGAGCCCATGACAAAAGGACAGATGCTATATGATTCCACTTGAATGAGGTACCTGGAGTCGTCCAATTCAGAGACAGAAAGCAGAACAGTTGCCAGGGGCTGAGGGCCGGGGGGAAATGGGGAGCTAGTATTTAATGGGCACAGAATTTCAGTTTTTCAAGATGAAAAGAGTTATGGAGATGGATGGTGGTGATGCTTACACATTGTGAATGTACTTAATACCACTGAACTGTATATTTAAAAATTGGTTAAGATGATTAATTTTATGTGTATGTTAACACAATTAAAAAATTGGATGGAGAACAAACAAAACACATGCAGGAGCCTCCATGTGCTTTTCCCAGGGAGCGGGCCCTCCAATTCTTCCTCAAATCCTACTTTTTGGCTCTTTTGTAATAATCTTGCTTATTTACTTCTTTTTCATGCATAAAGACCTAAGGCAACTTCTTGTGTGTGTTCTCCTTCTCCCAACTCACAACAGATGTCAGTGAGGGGGAGAGAGAAGGGGCCACAGCATGGCTGGGCTGGCAGGGCCTAGAGATGGTGACCTGGACGGCCCATGCATCCAGGGAAGAGAAGGGACCTTCCCGAGGTCACCCAGGAAGTTAGTGGCCACGCTGAGCCTTGAATCCCAAAATACTTCAAATCTCCTAAATCTCTCTGGCTCTCACCTGGATGCATCCGGTTTGAGAAAGAGAGCAACTACAAAAAGCAAAGCAAACAAAAAAAGGGGGGGGACAGAAGTCTGGGGCCATTTAGCATGGATGAAAATCAGCAATCCCCTAGCACAGCCACCCAGGATCCAGTGTGGTAGTAGCTCATGTTCCCAACCAGAACCCAGAATTCAGCAGACAAAGCCACCTTGTTTCCACTGCCTCTGCGTAAGAGGAAATTATTTTCCACTTGAAGTCCTTAAAACGAAACGGTGCTCAGCGCCTAGATTGCTAAGCTTCTGCTACCAAGCATAGCGTTCCAAATCCGAGAAAGGATGTTCAGGTGTAGACTTTCTGCGTGTGTACTTATTTGTAAATTTAGCACACGCATTCTTAAGCAAGTACTGCTACATATATTGAGATGAATTAAATATAAATAAAAGTTCTAGTGTTTTCTCCACATCCCAGTGACAACTCCCTGCACTTCCCCTTTGGAAGCCAGCGACACAGCACATTCCACTGTGTGGCACAGAGCGCTGGCCTGGCCGGGAAACCTGCACCCTACCGCAGCCTGTGCCGCCCGGTGCCACCCGTTCCCTACCCCCCACTGCACAGATTAGGAACCTGACATGCAGAGAGGCGGAATGACTTGCCCAGGGTCGCATGGATAATGAACATGGGCGGGCATGGTCCCAGACGTGACGCCAGAGCTGAGTGTGTTTGGGGGCTGGGCCACAGGGCTACAAGGCCGCATTCAGTGGGAACAGAAGATCTCAGAGGTTTCGAAGTGGAGCAAACACCCAACTCCTAGAATGTCTGCAAAAACACTCGTCCACAGCTTGGCTGGGAGACAGACGTCACGTCAAATAAATCAACACTTAAAACTTGCAGTAAGTACTGCGGAGGGGGCGTTTGTGTAATGAGAGCAGAAGACGGGAGGAACACTGGAATTGATAAACCAGGGATTAGGGGTGGCTTAGCCTGCTTTTTGCATTCTACAAGATGATCCATCAGCTGTCGGGGAGGGAGGATGGTCTGTAGCAACCCACATGCCCTGCCAGGGTTAAAATTTTCCACTTAGTGCAAACCAAGGTGCCAGCCTCACTCGGCTGTCTGTACGGAGGCTGACAGCCAACTGGTGTTAGTAGGAATCTCCCGCGAACTTCTCCAATTTGCTGCTGCCGTGTGTGTGCTTAACGTTTCCTGTTAGGGACCGTCTGTGTTACCGTAATGTCCCCATCCTTTCAAGCTCCTCTCTCTCTCTTCATTTTATGAGCGTGCACACCAATTAATATTCCAGCAGTTTTTTATTATTGTTCCCAGTCCACGAGAATATAACCACCCCTCATTTTATTACACGTTAATTCCTGGAGAGTTGTTAGCTTGTGTTGGGTTATTCTTTCTAGCAGGGCCCGGGGCCAGGCCTGGAGCTGCTCCTTAGTAAATGAGTGAAAAATCTATTCTCTGTCCCTTTGAATGTGCCAGTTCCTCAAGCCGTGGGTCCTCCCACAAAACGGGAGAAAGAAAGAGAAAGAAAGAGAAGCTTCTATTGACATTGGAGGTTTCTGGAATTTTCTAGGTAGCAAATTGGTTTTTCACAGAGCACATGGAGGAGGGGTGATATTGGAGCTCGAGCATAGCGCCCAGCAATGTGCACAAATCACCTGCTCACAGGGACACAAAGTTCCACACTGTGAAGCAGCACCAAAAGGAAGGGAGAAACGGGAGGACCACTTGAGGCCAGGAGTTCAAGACCAGCCTGAGCAGTACCAAGACCCCATCTCTACAAAAATTCTTTTTAAAAAATTTAGTTGGGCATGGTGATGCACACCTACAGTCCCAGCTACTCAGGAGGCTGAGCCAGGAGTATCACTTGAGCCCAGGAGTTTGAGGTTACAGTGAGCTATGGTGACACCACTGCACTCCAGCCAGGGTGACAGAGCAAGACCTTATCTAAAACAAACAAACAAACAAAAAGCAAGGAAGGCAGGAAAGAAGAGCAAAAAACCTTCAGTATTTTGACCAACCTAGGGAAAGGGTGGCTTTACCCTTGTCTATTTCAGGGACTGAATCCAAAGGGCTACAGTGACACCAAATAAGACAAATACTGGCTCCACGAGCATGGTGACCTCACTGTGTAGGTGCCAAAGAGTGCAGCAACCTCAGGGTCAGGCAGATTGGGGTCAGTCCTGCTCCGCTTTTACTGGGCTGAGAACACCAGGCAGACCCTCTCTGGCCGGTTTGGGTTAGACTGTTGGCTGCCTCCCGCCCACGGCTTCACCTCCACGGAGCTCGGCCCATGAATGGCGTCGGGGCTGGAGTCATTGCTAAACCCAGTCTCCTCTCCTAGCCCAGAGGTTCCCCGGCAGACACTGTTACAGGACTCATTATAGCTGCATCCCCAGAGCGTGGCACAAGACTACAGAGCTCAAGAAAGATCTAGAATGCATGCTTCTCTAAGCAGAGGCTGAAATCAGACCAGGAGGGTGTGGTGATGATCATGATGACAATGATACAGAGCGCAGCCACTTTCACTGAGCATCTGATCTACCCCCTTGTAGGAACTCGGGCTCACCACCTGCAGAGTCCCAGAACGGGCCTTTGAAGTGGGGGCGCACAGCACCGCTCACAGATGGGAGGAAGGGAGCCCCGAGTGGTGACGGGACCCTCCCAAGGCTGGAACCCAGCTCTAGGGACTCCCCCTAACCCTGTTTACCCCCCGGCCCCTAATGTCTTGCCGGCGTCCTGCATGGACCAGGTAGGTGACCCTGAGGCACGGCCATGAAGGGTGCAGCAGGAAGTGCAGCCTCAGCACTTCCCCGCCCCAGTCGGCCGCTTCCGCAGGGCTGGCCCAGCCCACAGCTGAGGCAGCCGGCTCCCGGGCCAGCCAACCAGCCAACCGGTGCACCGCAGGAAGCTCGCTCTGCAGCTCCGCCCTTGTCTCCAGGCAAGGCTGCTCTGCACGGCTGCCATCTCCGCACCTTATCGGAACATCTGCATCTCTGAGGACACAGCCCAGCAGGCTCAGAACAGCGATTTCCTTCAGATCTCCCTCCAGAAGCCCCTATCACAGGCATCGCAGATTGAAACAAGAGCCCCCCGAGTAAAACTTGAGGGGTGTCTTCCCTTGTGGGGCCCGGCCTGGAGCAGAGGCTACAGGGAACCATATGTAGCAAGTACCTTGTCCTCCTCCATCTGGTAAGCTCTTAGCTATCCCGCAGAACCCCAGCTCGAATGTCCTTTCCCTTAGATTTCCCAGTGTCTCCTCCAGCCCTGGCTATAATGGCCAGTGCTCCAACAATACCATGTCCACTTGTCTCACTGGATGGTGGTGTCCATCTCCCTCACCAGACTACAACTGGAAGTTATAAACCTCCTTGTGGTACAAATACAGGTTGGCCACATAGAATAGATGTAGGAAAAAAAAAGAAAAAAAAAAAAAAAAAAAAAAATCTCAGGTTCTAAATGAAGTTGTAAAAAAAAAGAAAAAATAAAAAAAATAAAAAAATAAAATAAAAAAAATAAAAAAAAGAATAGATGTAGGATTTGATCTTGGTTGATCAGATTAGTAGCTCTGTGACCACAAGAAAGATTGCCTCTCTGAACCAGTTCTCTCATCTGTATCAGGGGGACAAAATAGGGATCTCGATCACTGTGGGAATGGGCCATTTCGAGGGCTAGAAACACAGCAGCCACTTGGTAAATGCAAGGGCCACACCCTCTCCCCTCCCACCTTCCCATGCCTGGCACTACGCCCAGCACATGGAGGTTCTCACCCATGATTATTTAAAGGAATCACTGAACTGATGGAATCAATTAAAATGCTGAGGTTTTACTCAATACGCAATCCTTAGAGCATGGAGAGATCTAACTTGAGGAATAGCCCCGACCTCCCTACCAAAGAAAACACACCAGGGCAGATCCAGCTAGAGCCCCACCACTCCCATTTGCTCCCTCCTCTTGGACTCACGGAAAGACTACATTTCCCAGCATCCCTCACAGCGACCTTAGGGCCACGTGCTTGGTTCTGGCCAATGGGATGTGAGTGGCCATGTGGACACCTCCCTGAACCCAGTCCTAACCCACTCTACAAGATCCTTTTTGCTCTCTGTCCTCTGTCCTTGTGACCGAAGGTGAAGGACTCTGGAAAGAGTGGCGCCACATGACTGAAGGAGCCCAGTTTTTCCTGGGTCAATGCTCAGTTTAAGAGCTACCAACCCTCAGGGACTCTAACACTAGTAAAAAAATAAATTTTTGTATGTGAAGCCACTGAAATGCCAAGTTGTTTGTTTTAGCGGCTACTATTACTTATCGTGAAGGATATATAGAAATAGGAGGCAAAAAAGAAATGCAGATTTCTTAAAAATTTAAAAGAGCTTATCAGTCAAGCGGCAGGCAGTGAGGGAACCAATACGATAGCATAGACAGACGGGTGTTTGCATTATCAAGGGGCAAGCGTCCTCTAGGACTGCTGCCGCTGGTCATTGGAAAGGCAGGACTTGTGCCTACGGAGCTTACAGCGCTAGGGAGGAGGCTGGGAAACACAGCGTCAATAATCTGCATGTATCAGCTATAGTCAGGTACAGCTGGAAAAACATAAAAGAAAAAGAGAAGCTGAGGGGAGAATTGGCCAGTTTGCAAAATGGAAGGGGAAGAGAGTCCAGAAATGTGGGATCTGACTGGGTTGGAAAAGCCAACTGCTTCTCATCCTCAATAGTTAGAAATGGGATTTTAGAGAATCTGGGGGTCAAAGACCCAGTAAGTCTGGGTTGGACAAAGTGACTAACAATAAAGATCAGATGAAGGGTGTGGCCTTCTGTTCAACCTGTTGAACTTCAAGGAAACACCAGTAAGTTGAAAGAGAGTGAGAGAGCACAGGAGAGAAAGCAAAGAAACGAAACCCATGTGAGAATTTTCACCCAAGGAGGGACTTGGGGTGTGGGCACTGAGACTCAGAGCCCGGCAAAGCAAATCGATCAGAAAGTCATGATTACATTGTTAAGCAACACGCATTGCCAAAGAAACCAAAAGTCTGAATTTTAAAAACCTTTCACTGTTCAAGACTTAAAACACATTCTGTTCTAGAAGAAAACAGGAGAAAAACTGTGACCTTGGCTTAGCGAAAGATTTCTTAGATACAGCACCGACAGTAACAATCCTTAAAAGAAAAAAATTGACAAATTAGACCTCATCAAAATGAAAACTTCTGCTCTTCAAAAGACAGTGTTAAGAAACTTTAAAAGACAAGCCAAAAATCTCGGAGAAAATACTTGCAAATCACATGTCAGAGAAAGGACTTGTATTCAAAATATGTAAAGAACTCACAACTTAAAATAAGAAAACAACTCAATAACAAAAAGGGCAAAAGAGTTGAAGAGACATATCACCAAATAAGAGAGATAGATGGCAAATAATCACATAAACACGCACAATCATTAGGGAAATGCAAATTAAAACTACAGTTACACACTTATTATAATGGCTAAAATCAAGAAGACATACCAAGTGCTGACAAGGAAAGAAAGAAACTGGCACTGTTGTTTATTACTGATGGGAATACAAAACGTTACTGCCGCTTTGGAAAACACATTGGCAGTTTCTCATAAAGTTAAACATACACTTACCATATGACCATTCCATTCCTAGATATTTACCCCAAAGAAACGAAAACTTATGTTCACACAAAAACCGATATGTGAATGTTTATAGGAGCTTTATGCATGTTTCCAGCCAAAAAAAAAAAAACAAAAAAACGGAAACAACACAAATATCCTTCAAGGAGTGACATCCATAGAATGGAACACTACTTGGCAACAAAAAGGAATAAGTTATTTTGTTGACACACAAAAGAACTTGGATGAATCCCAGATGCGTTTCACTAAGTAAAAGAAGGTAGGCTCAAAAGGCTCCTGCTATATGACCCCAAAACAGACCAGAGGTGGCCAGGGACTAGGGAAGGGGGAAAGGGCTGACAACAGAAGAACAAGGGAAATTTGCACGGTGATGGAACTATCCTAAATCTTGATTGTCGTGGTGGTTACATGATCATATGTATTTGTCCAAACTCAGAATTGTGTTATTAAAAGGTGAATTTTGCCATACTTAAATTATACCGCAACATTTAAAAATATGAAGAAAAAAAGCTGACCATAGGCAATCAATAACTAATTGGCATTAAAAACACTGAAGCCCCAACCTCTCCTTGGGGAGGATGCAGGCTTTGAAGGCTGCACAGACCCAAGCGGGGGTGCCCCTCAACAGTAACCTCAGAGGTGGCCAGGGAGAGAAACGGGCAAGGGGGAGCCCTGAAGGATGGTCCCAGCTCGGAGATGCTCCCAGCACGGAGAACGGAGTTTCTCTGGGAGACCAGAATCAGGACCTGACCAATGACAGTCCTTTCCCTAGTCCTCAGGTGCAGAGAGCCTTCAGGGCTGAGGATTTCAGACTTGCTGCAAGCGAGGGACTGCGATTATCTCCCGTCGATCCATACTCCTACAGGACGTGTCCATTGCAGTTGCCCGGCCTCTGTTCCACCACTGGATGTTGCATGTATGCGGGGCGTGCACTTGTCTCTGTAGTTCATAGGCCACCAGGTCGTGAGGAGCCACCTCTGCACCAGGTGCACAGGGTTCTGTGGCACTCGGAAGTCCTGGTCTTTACGCCGGATGTGTAGACGGGCACTGGGGGTTGTTCCCCTCGGGGAGGGGGTGGCTGTCTTCTATGTGCCGAAGGAAGAGTTTGAAAGCTATTTGATAACCAAAAAGGAGCTGGTTTAAGGGTTGGATGTTTTAGCGACCAGTATTGCCTATACCGACTGATACGCACGGTAATATTTAAAGAAGTGATGTGTGAGCCTGGCATGAGTGCATCTGACATCTGAGCCAAGACAAAAGGCTGGGCTATTTGATGACCAGAAATGACCAGGATGCATGGGAAGATGATAATTGCCAGCCCAGTTGTAGTCAGGTTGGGTCATGTGACTGAATTCTGGCCAGTCCTCTGCCTGGTCCTTAAATAGTCCCGTGTAACCTTCCACTGTCTCTTTCTGTCTGGTCCATGGGGCTGGAAGCAAAGGAGTCCACGGCAGTGGAGCCACACAGTAGAAGGAGCCAGAGCCTTGAGTCCCCGCTTGAAGAAGAGCCGTCCAGGTAAGACACCTGACTCTCATCAGATGAAGATGTAAGCAAGAAATCAACTTCTATTAATATCCTGAGAGCTGGTTTGAGGGCTGGTTGTTTCAGCAACCAGTACTGCCTATACTGACTGATACAGGTGGTGAGATTTAAGGAAGTATATGTGAGCTTGGGATGAGTGTACCTGACATCTGCACCAAGGCTGGGCAACACCCAAAGACCTCACATGCCTTCTGCAGGGCACAGGTGGCGTGGAAAGGGCCAGACACCAGAGTGAGTGTGGGACACTGTAGTGAGGACTGTGGTCAATCCAAGCTACCTCTGGGCACATACTGCATGCCTGTAGTCCCAGCTACTCAGGAGGCTCAGGCAGGAGGATTGCTTGGGCCTGGAGGATCGCTCGAGCCCAGAAGTTTGAGACCAGTCTGAACAACATACAAGACCTTGTCTCTTAAAAAAAAAAAAAAATTCCTCCAAGCAGAAGTCACTTGACAGTTTGAGTTGAGTTGACTTTTGCAACCCAGAATGACCTATCCATAAAATATCCTGCCTCGCTGCAGAGGGTGAGGGCTGTGGGAGCAAGGGACAGGGGTCCAGGAACAGGTGTGCAACATCTGCATAGTCTGTCATTCCTTGGTTGATTAGAGCCAGTGCCCATGCCTGGGGGAGACCCCATGCCAGAGCAGGGCAAGGCGAAGCCCAAGGGGCCCGGAGTGACCTGGGTCACCAGGAAGCACCTCCAGCAGAGAAACCCCCTGGAGACTTGCAGCTGAGCTAACAGAATAGAGAGCTCTTGCTCCAGGGCCCCCACCAGACAGGCAACACTGTTCCTGGGGTCCAGCATCGGGGTTAGGCCTGGGAGTGGGGGTGAAGGGTCCCAGCTAGAGGGAGAGGAGCTCAGGGAGGCAGGAGCCAGGCAGGATCTGCTATTTTAGTTTCTCTATTAGAGCTCTATCCTGCCTATCAAAGTTCTCTAGTTAGTAACAAGGGGTGTGTGTGTTTTGGCTGGGGTTCTTTGGAAAATGGGAAGTCTAAAGGTTAACACAGGCCAAGGGAAATACAGAAGAACAGTCTAAATTATAGAGCAACCTATAAATGGTTACCTATAACAGGATAGTACATACATTGCAAGTTCTGTACAAGTGGACACCATGATTCTCTCTCCACACGCCTCGCACATGCCTCACATCCATGGTGTAGACAGGTGAGTGTTTAGCATGAAGACAAGAGTTACAGAAAACATACTTTATTCTTTGGGTGATTAAATGGGCTTCCATGTTTTCATAGAGTGGAGAAGTTCAGAAGGTGCATGTGCGTCTACGGTTTCATACTGTTTCCCCAGAACCCTCACAGGCAGGATGTTCATTCTCTGCAATGAGCACATGAGGAAAAAGGAGCTCAGAGTCTCGAGGTAAGAATACAGCTGGAATCTCTGCTCTTCTACAGATCGGGTTCCTCACCCCTGCCTCTACCCAGCGGCAACCAACCTCACACACAAAGTGTGATCATCAAAACTGTCTCCAGACATTGGCAAATGCCCCCGGAGAAAAGACCCACCCTGCACTGCTATATAGGTGGATTAATTCACATGCCCAGGAAAGGGCTGGTCTCAATTCCTAGTCTCCAACTCTTGGGGCGCAGTGTGGTTTAGAACCCAGAATAGTGGGAGTTTTACAAAGGTAAATGCATGATATCCCAGCAGAGTCTGGGACAGCCTCCACCCCCGAGACAGGTCCATTCCACCGAGGAACGGATGCATGTCTGCAGTAAGCAGGGTAAGCAAAGACGGCCACGGTCTCACGCCAGCGCCGGTCGGGCTTTGCTGCCAGGTTAAGTGTGCTACGAAACCACCAAAGAGCTGGCTTTGGGGGCTCTTGAGGAAGAGTCCACGGGCAAACTGCCACACACAGAGGCGGAGGGATGTCCCCAAGGTCCCATGACTGCTTCCAGGGACCAGGCTGTTTGGGGAGAGCCGGTCCACTTCCCAGGGCTCCACACTCGCCCCTCCTAACTGCCGAGGCCCCACGCCAGGGGAAGGAGGACGACACAGACTTGGGTCCTTGGCTCCAGCTGTGTCCCCCCTGCTCCCTCTGCCCCAGGCAGCTTCCCTCTGGACCCCCTGGGTCTCACTTTCCCCTTTTCAGGTCATCTCAGTGTGTGACGAGTCTCCCCAGGTGGCTGATTCACAAGATGGTGATCAGTGCAGTGGGAGACCCAGGGATGTAAGAAACGTAAACGAAAGAGGAGAAAAAGACGCGAGCCCTCCCTCAGCCACAGCCTCAGCTGGAAGAACGGCTCCGGGAACTGTCCAGGCAGGCCTAAGGGATGTGACGATGGCTCAGCCTCTGTCCCCTGTATCCGCCCGTGACATACCCGCTCTGTCCTGGTGGTGAGACCCCACTCCGAAACAAACCCCACGGGGTCAGGTCTGTTTATTCGAATATTTGTCCCCAAAAACCGAGCTGCCAAAAGCATCGACCCCACCAAAGTCGGGGACGTGGATCTGCCTCCAGCGAGAGAAGCGAGTCCTCTGCCTCTGCCGTGGGGACCAATCGGAAGGCGCATCGGCCCACGGGGTGCGGGCGCCCGTGGTATCCGGCCATCTGGGGGCCTCCACTTCTCTCGGCCGGCTGCGGAGGCAAGGGAGAATTTTTCCCAGAGCTTGGTGGAGCTCCATATGGTTGAGATCAAAGGTGTTGCTGGGTGCATGGTTCTGCTTTATTTCCAAGCGCTGCTGTTAATTAGAAAACAAGATCAGAGGCAGTATTAAAATCCAATTAAATTGATATGAACAGATTGCCAAGTGATGTTCACTAATGTATAATTGAGCACCATGCAAATTTCGGTGGCTGGCTTTTGTTTTTTTTTTTCCCCCACACTCTGGAATGAATGATGAGGCTATGAAGTTTTCCTTCATTGTAAAAAACAAACAAGTTAATGCATTGATCTAGGGGGTATTGCCCCGGTGATTGATGAAAATGAGAGAGAAATGGTAGAATGTGACTTTTTGCAGGGAGGGGACGAGGAGCTTTCTATTCTCCCTCTCTTGCCTCCCTTTGGTTCCACATCCATTTCTCATGCCCGGTGGCAGGCCCAGCTTTCTGTTGACATTCCATCGTTAATGATCCAGAGAAAGTTCCTCTGGATTTCAAGGATGGGTTGAAAACTAATTTTGGAAGTTTGAGGACGAACACTACAGATAAAGGCGGATCTAGATACAAGTAGGTTTTGGTTTAGTGTTAACTTCTTGTTTGTTCCTTTGTGTGTTAGAAAGAGGGAATTTGCTGTGATCTAGACCCATGGGCAACCCCCCCTCCCCCCTCCCCCACCCAGGATATAGAATCTGGGAGAAGATACCAGGAAGATGAGGAGAGGCCAGTTTCAGCAACAGAGGGGAGATGGTGCCTCCCGGAAGAAGGCTGTTAGTGTCAGGAGTTTCCCATTATACTGTTGCAAAATCAAATTGTTTGCTCACTGTGGATACAGCGGGCTTGTGAACATGCCGTCAGTGTTAAGGTTTAAAATTAAAAGTACCATCAAAGAATCCGAAAGTACCACCAACGACAACGGCGGATGGCAGTGTCTACAAACTCATGATGTGCTTGTAGCATTTGGGTTTTTGTTTTGCCTCTCTTAAAAAAAAAAAAAAAAAAAGGAAATCTAATCAATCTAATCATCTCACTCCCAGGATCACACTTGGTGTGCTAGGCAGTGAGGAAGACTCAAACATAAGCAAGACCCTGGCCTTGACCTTAAGGCATCTGGAAATGGGGCACAAAGTGAGTATACGGGGCAACACGAGACACAGCCGAGAGAACACGAGGCGGCTTCTCGGCATGTATTCCCCTTGCTCTTCCCGTCCTGGCAGGAGCCCTGACTCTGTTCAGGGAAAGCCCCTGCTCCCCATGGCGATCCTGATTGGTCTATGTCACTGAGGCAACCCCATCCTTGCACCAGTGCCAGTGAGTTCAGGCATGAACATGTGACCCAGTTCTGGCCAATGAGACGTGACCTGAGGGGGCCTCTCCCTGAGGCTTCTGGGAAAAGTCTTCCTGGACGATGAGAGGAGGCTCATGGGAAGCAACAATGGCTCCTGCCGCCATCTTGCTATCAGCCCAAGGGTGACACTCACACATCAAGCAGGACCCAGAGAGTCACAAAGAATTAGAACCAAAAGCCCACCCCCCCATCTTCAGCACCTGAACCCCACAAATCTCTAGACTTGTTCGCAGGATGGCAGTTCTCATTATGTCATCCTCTCTGGGCTGGATTTTCTGGTAAATGTTGCCAAAAGCAGCTCAACTGATCCCAGATGCTCTTGGTTCTGATTCCTTGTGACACTCGGGGTCCTGCTTGATGTGTGAGTGTCACCCTTGGGCTGATAGCAAGATGGCGGCAGGAGCCACTGTTGCTTCCCATGAGCCTCCTCTCATCCTCCAGGAAGACTTTTCCCAGAAGCCTCAGGGAGAGGCCCCCTCAGGTCACGTCTCATTGGCCAGAACTGGGTCACATGTTCATACCTGAACTCACTGGCAGAGAAGAGGGTAAGTTTCACCCCACTTGTAAGATCAGGGGAAACGGGCCCTACACCTCCTTGTCCACAGCAGTCGTGGAAGACGGGCTTAGGTTTGGTCGTTTGGTTGCTTGGCTGATTGGTTTCAGAGAAGAGGTTCAGCAGAGGACAGAATAGAGTCACCAGCAGCCCCTCTGCTCGTTTTTATAGAAAGGGGAGGAGAGTGACACTTGGCTTTTTGGAAGGTATATTTCATGGTTTTTTTTTTTCTTTTTGGACAGCTTTATTGAGGTGCAATTCACATACCAACATGCCACACAATTCATTCATTCAATTTAATGGTTTTCGGTATTTTCACAAAGTTGTACAACCATTATCTTTGTTCAAGAAGTCTGAATATTACTTTCAAATGTTAGGTGCAAAATTCAAATTATATATTGCAACAAGAAATAGAGGAAATGCTCCTTTTGAATCCTTTTAAGTGGTCATTTCTAAAGTGGTATGCTTTCACATTTTATGTTTGTTTTTAGTATATTTTGTTTTCAGGTAAGTTTCATGTGGTTCTGTTTTTATTCCTCAGATAACGACTGAGTTTTCCTCATCTTTTTCCCAACTTACGACTATCCATGACACAAAATATAACTCCTAGTGAGAATAAATACTATAAGCACATAGTCCTTAGAAGAAAAATATTACTATAAACGTAAGATTAAATATCCATAAGAAAACTGTATATTTTATACCCTTTAATTGGATGTATTTATGATAGACCGTTGTATTAGCGTTGGTCATAAGATTACATACAAACTCAAGGCTTGAATCAGATCAGATGTAGGTGAGATTGCTCATAGCGACAGCCTTCACACAGGACTCTAGATGATGCTGCTAAATTGAAATAACATGTAACTGGCAAATGATCCAAGTAAATCCCATCATGCCCAACTTTTGAGCAATTTAAATTTTTAGGTCAAATATTTTATGAGTAGTTGAAGTTTTTCTAGATTCTTTAAAACTAGTACTCTGTTTATAATAAACATGGCTAAAAATAATTAGCAATTGAAAGGGAAGAACTTTGTTTACTAAGAGTAAATACAGTTGGCTTTTTCTTTCAAAGATAAAGTATGGATGTGGTTATCTTAAAATAAGGCAAGAAAGTAACATTTGTTCAGTGGTGCAACTTTGCACTTCCCAAATAACAGCTCCCTATAAAAAGTGGGCATAATGCATGAAGTATCTCTTTTAATCCACCCCATGACCTTCTGAGATTTGTTTTATTATTCCCATTTTGCCAATGGGAAACTAAGGCTTAGAAAATTCAGCAACTTTCTCTATTACAGCCTCTCCTCACACCCTGTACATTTCCTTTCCAAAATAGTAAATAAACATTTCTGTAGTCATTTTGTTGATTTTGTAGTTGTGTTGTAGATAGCAACAGCAAGTCTATTTCTTGTTGCAATTGACTTCTCTGAAGGGAAGGGCATCCATCTGCTCACTGCCACTCTCGGGGCCTCGTGCACAGCAGGTGCTCCGTAGATCCCCCGCAGATGTGGCCAGGGTCACTTGGCTAGTGAGAGGAGAACTGCCATCTGACCCCAGTTCCATCCCTCTCCAGAAACCAAGCTCATAACCACTCGCCCACATGCCTCCCCGCACAGCTCTCTTCCCAGCACCAGGCACGCGACCCCATATAAGGTGGTGCTCGCTGTTCGTGGCAGATGAACACCCACGACACAGCCAAAAAGGTGCAGATGAGGGAATGTGCCCACCTGACTTCCAAGAGTGGTGTAGAAAAGACAGGATGGGGACTCTGGCCAACGGGGTGTAGCATAACTCTTGAAGCTCTGTCACTGATGAGTTGTGTGACCTCGAGCAGCTCACTGCGTCTTTTTGGGCCTCAGTGCACCATGAGAAGAAGCATCCCAGATATGCACAATCCCAAAGAAAATTCACCTGCCAAAGGGAAGAGATTCCTTCTCACCAATGGGTTATTCCCATGAACCATTAGCAGAGCAGGCTCAACTTCAGTTCTGAACTCCACTGTGTGAGCTTCTATGAGCCCTTATCCTAGTAGGACATAATTTAATATTGTTTCATCACAATCCCAACAAAAGACTTGGCCAGAGGTGGCTACACAATCTGTGGGGCCCAGTATAATGTAGAAGCAGAGACACTGATTGAAAAAAAAAAAAAAACAGGAAAAGCATGCTCTACAAGGTACCCAAATATAAGCTTGCTTGTTGTTCTTTTTTTCCACAGTGTCTCTCACTCTGCTTGTCACGGTGTTTCGTTTGCTAAGTATTGTCATTCTAAGTAAAGAAAAATTAAAATTTTAAATTATTAGCATGAATTTTATCCTTCATCTTTATGTCATGCAATTCCAGTTTAAACACAAATATAACAGCATTTAATTCATGTGCAGAATAATCAAAATTGCACAGTTCGTACTTCCCAGCATGTACATGCATGTATGTTTCATTCTTACCAGAAAAGTGGAAGCACTGCAGAAAACTAACTGCACTGTTTTTATTTCACACCTTGATATGCACACATTCCACCAATGCTCCGTGGAAACCAGTAGCTCTCATAACATGCTCACCTTGTACTTGTTCCAAATCTTGCTGAACTTCTACGCATCGTGCGTTCACTGGCATTCTGCGCAAGGAGGCATCACGAATGCTACGTGGGGCGGCAGGGAACAGGGACATGCACACTGCACTGTCTCAGGTGCATGCTCCATTGGCCTCCCCACTTCGCTTCCAAAACATGAGTTCAGAGGTAAAATTATTAGTGATTTCAAGACAGCCAGAACAGAGCATCAAAAGCACAGCCTTTGAGCACAGGGCTTTGACTGACTGCGCAGGTCGCATGCCTGTGAAGCCAGCCTTGGACTCTCAACCAGTTGCATGGACAAGCCGCCCACCCCCAGACCTGGGACTCCCCAGGGTTCCCCAGTGCCGAGAAAGCCCCACACCTCACAGCACACAACCGGATTTTAAAAATCCATATTTCTTCCAGATGTTTGATCATTTCAAACACTCGAGCCAAATTCTTTTGTGCCCAGCCCTCTTCCAAACAGATTCTAAATGGATTTACCGAAATGCATTTAGGTAAAATACAAATGAAGAAATGGCTCAAGGTGAAGGGACACTGCCATTGTCAATGCCGTGTCCCCTTTCCCATACCAGAGGATGAGATGCCATCTCACACCATTTTATTTTCAACAGCAGACACAGCACTTCATTGAAAACAGATGGTGCCTAATAATTGCAGAATGACTAAACGAAACATGCTGAGTCACTCTTTTTGACAAAACGACACGCCTTCCAAAAGACAGCTCATTTCTGAGCAATTTAACTAGCAGTACTTGAGAAAATTTATATAGTGTTGCTTGGTTTTATTTAATTTGGAAAGCCTTTTTGTGTGCTTGTCTCATCTGATGCTCAAAATAGGTTTCCAGCGTAAGCTATGTTAGCCCCGCTCAGCGTGGGGAGCCCTTGGGAGGAGAGTCACTTGCCCATCACAACACGGAGGGTACAGGACAAGTTTCAAACCCGGTTCTTTCTTTTTGACTTCAGGACTTTCGAAGACAAAAACCTTCGAGTAATCACTTTGAGCCAGTGGCATTAAAAAAAGGAAGAAAATTATCTGGAAAGAACAAAAAACAGTGGGATTCCTCAAAGAATGTAAATCAACGAGTCCTTTTGGCCCAGAACCCCATTAACCATTCCGGGCCCTCAGTGACGCGGACAAGTAGCCCCGCCCAGCCCCTGAGTCGGGACGGCACCACCCCATAAGGGGACCCATCTTCATTAACTGAGACCTGTTTTGCACATGCAAGAAAGAAAACGCAAACAGCATCTTACCAAAAGAGATGGTTAGAGAGGCCTCCAGACCAGCTGCTAATCCACACAGGCTCCCATTGTCTGTCACCTCCAGGCAATTAGGAATTGGGTGCAAGTCCTGCCTGGGTTGCTTCATTGAAACTGATTTATCTAGAGTCCTCAGGACACCAGGTTGAGATACTTGGCAGTCCAAGGTCGTGTGTGCTGAGCGACTAAGGCCTGGGCAGTCCAGAACGCAGCGAGTGCCGAGCAACGGGCTCCCCCAGACCGTCCCCTGCCCTTTTCTCTCCCCAAGGGCTTCCTTCACCCAACAGGCATTCAGTCATTAGTCACGGGCAAAACGTTCAGCAAGTTCTGGGGGCGCAAAACTTCTCCAGGAGCTCAGAGCCCGGCAGGGGTAAAACTGGGGGCAGGAAACTGCCTGAAAGGGCTGACCGAGGGCCATAGAGGCTGGGAGGGCTCAGGGCCCAGAGGGCTCCTGGGGAGCGTGGGGCTCCTACACACCCTGCACGCCTGTGTCCTGAATCCTCGCCTCCCAGGGAGGCCCGGCCTATTCCACAGAAGCTTTTCACCCCCAGAGCTTGCAGGGTTGCAAAGGCCGTGCTTGCCATGGGGATGGGTTTTGCCCTTGTGTTCACTCCAGGACTTGAGAAGAGGCGAAGGTTGCAGCTCAGGAGTGCCGGGGAGTGGGGAAAAGCAGGGAGGTCACCCCGACAGGCTCGAAGAAAGTGGGTCACTGGCCACAATGAGCACTGAGGAGGTTCAGCTCTGGAGCAGCGGTTGAAGCTCAAGAGAAATCCAGAAACAGCAGAGAGGGTCACCGTGGCCAGCCCATCTCGAATAACCATCAGGGTCCCAGAGAACCGCCTGTCACCAGGCCTCACTCTCCAGCACTGAATAAAGCCTGCCCCTTTCCCCAGCCTGGCAGCTGGCACCTGCTGCCGAGTTCGGCTGTACGAGGTCGCCAGTGTGGTGGCTCTGCCCCTAGCAATGCAGCCCTGTTTGATCTCGAGCACTTTCGTCACTCATTGAAATGACAGAGGGAAGTGGAGGACACGGGGGGCCACCCGGGCACTGGCCCGGGAGAGAGGGGCTCCGGGTCAGTGGAGAGAGGGCGCGCTGGCATGAGGCTTAATTCACCAAGCATTGTGTTCCTTCCAAAGCCCCAGCATGTTGGAATACAAACAAGGCCACGGGGCAGGGCCCCAGCTGGCAGAGGAGCAGGGACAGTGGCCCCTCTGGACAGGCGCGAGGCCACCCCTGGCTCTCAGAGGAGGCCTTGCACCCCAGACAGGCTCTGTGAAGTCAGATCTGGCAGCGAGCGGCACGTGAGCTTTGTCCAGGAGGGTGAGCGGCAAAAATAGGTCTCCACTGTGAAGCGGAAATCATGACTACAATGACATAAAAACGAAGGGTCTACACCACAGACCAAGGCTTTGCCAAGCGTGTTCCTCATAGGCTACAAAGCTGATGTTCAGTCAGTCAAGAGAGGTCAACACTGGACTGAACAAAGTGGAACTCCTTTCTTGTCTGCAGGACTTCTCAGGGCCTTTTACTATGTGAATTTCAGGAAATGCAAGGTTTCCCAGCCTTAGTTGGCCACTCAATCCTCTCTCCTGATATTGATGCTCTGCTTTAGGAAATGCCATGGGTGAGGGGTGTGGAGGGCTGAGACCCCACACTGGGTGGCACGGTACCCAGGCAGGGAGCCCAGAAAGACTGCTCGGGTATGGCTTTGACATCTCTTCTCCGGGGGTCTTGCACTGACCTTGGTGGTTTGGAGAGGAAGAATGGAGAGAAAGCCACGTGGAGCACCTGATGCGGGCACACGCTCCGCAATCTCAGCCCCTCGGAGCCCCCCCCCAGGGTGGTTGTGCAGATGGAGCACACACTGAGCCCCCACCCCCACCCCAGCCTCACGCTCACCCCCGATTTGCGTGCAGCTCTGGTCACTACCTCCGTGCGCTTTGCCAGTGCCCCACCACGAGCACGCACGGTGGGGTCTCCACACACCGCTGCCGTGGGGAGCTCTCTGCAGCTCCAGAAGCTGCTTTGCCCTCGAGCAGGTGCAGCCCAGAGCATGGGAGGTGGCATCCCTGGAGACAGCCATCAACCGAGAGGAGTCCCAGCCTGCTGTCCTTTGAGGGAACATCCCGAGGCATGTCCTGCATGCTTCCCTGGAGTCCCCAGAGAGATGGCACCCCAGCTGCCTGCAGTGGTGGCCAGCCGGGCGAAGCCCCTCTCCTGACTTTATCCCTTCTCTCCTCACTTGCCCAATCCATCCTTCTGATTCCTGGGGTCACCTTCCAAATAAATTCTCTGCACCTGAGTCCTTGTCCCAGTCTCTGCTTTCAGGGGAACCTAAACACGACAGTGAGAGCGTTACAGCGCGAAAGCCCTGGATCAGCAAGCTGGTCTGAAATGTAACGGCTGCCCTGGAGGCTGGTGGGCTCCATCCCTAGAAACGCAGGTGATGACGAAGATACAAGGCCCATCGGCAGCCTGTGAACAGGAACCAGCATGGCTTAGGAGGCCGGAACAAGGGACTCGTAATGCCTATCCATGCCTATGTGTGCTGGCGTGCCCTCCCCAAGGACAAGAATATTGTGTTTTCTTTCCCCTGTGTGTCCATGGTCAGTGCTGGGTCTAGATCCTACCAGGAGGCTGGAGGAGGCCTGTCAAGGTGGTGGGGGGCCAGACTGAAAGCACAGGGCAGCACCCAAGAACCCCATAGCCAGCCTGGACCTGGAGGTGTGTCTGGCCACAGCAGGAACCCAGCAAGGGAGCACAGGAGCTGGGTCCTAGCCAGGAAGCAGATCCGAGCATTCTGGGACGCAGACGTCGCTGGGACAGGGGGAGCAGCCCAGGTGAGGGGTCAGGACCCTGGCTGGGGACGGGAGGACCAGGCTGGACGCTGGGTGACACGAGCCAGGGCCCCATGGCAAGTGCAGCCTACAGGCTTCCAGGAGCAGTGCGGGCAAGCTGCTTGCCAGAGCCACTTAGGCACTACCTGGGGATGAAAACAGACACAGGACACAAATAAGCAACTCCCAAAGAAGAAAAACACATGCACAAATTCTAAGATTGTAAAACTCTCCAGCCTCCCCGTCAATCAAATAAATATAAACAACAATACTGTTTTCTTTTTTCCTTGCCAGCTTAGCAAATTTATTTTAAAAAGGAAAAAAAAAACAAGATTATTTATTGCATTAACAAGGAGCGGAACATCGGGGCCCCCAAAACTGTGGACTGAAGGATAATCTGGTCCGCCCCTTCTGGAGGTCATTTGAGGAATATGTAGCAACAAAGCAAATAGGTGCATGCCCCTCTCAAGAATGTACCCCAACGAACTGGCAAAATAGGAAACAATTTGTCCACAAGAATGTTCACCGCAGTGTTACCAATCGTGGCAAAACTCTGAAATAACCAGAAGGTCAAATAATCAGAAATCAGGTGCAAGTACTTCATAGTATATCCATACGAAAAGGATATTTCAAAAAACAATGTAGAAAACTCATGATTTGGAGATGTTTAGAATGTATAGTTCAGTGGAAGAGGACAGAAATAAACAGTTGTCATAGTATAATTCATTTGAAAAGCAAAATACAAACATGCAATGTGTCACTTCTCTGGACAAGCTGTGTTCCCTGCGGTCTGGTGTCAGAGCTGTGTCCTATTTAGAGGGACCAGCGCCGGGGGGGCCCCCCCTCTGAGATCTGAGAATGACCTTCGCCGTCAATGTCACCCACCGGCCCCGACCGCGCAGTGTTTGGTTTCACTTCCTGTGCGCGTGCTAGCTTGAGGGTGAGCCTTGGTTTCCTCATCTGCAAAACGGGGCGACACTATCTGCCTCGTGGGAGACGTTCTGAAAGCTGTGGCAACGCCTGACACGTTGCCTGCACCGTGGTCATCCTCGAGGGTGCACTAGTCCCTCCTGCCCGCCCTTGGTCTGCGCCCACGCCTTGAGAGTCAAAGGTCAAACCAAACCAGGCAGAGAGCAAAAGCAATGGATGGAGCCCTCTCTGAGCCCGGACACCCCAGGGCCTGGTGGAGGTCCCACCTCACAGCAGGTGCCCCATGTCAACCAGTCACGTTCCTAGATTTCCCAGACCCAGGTGACCTCGGGGAGCATGTGGCCCACCCTCCCCACACTTGACAGCTTGCCTTCCCGTCCTCACCCCATCCGAAGGCAAGTGACCAAGCGATTTGTACACGTGTTCCTAACAGCGAAAATACACGCCAACAACCCAAATGGTCATCAACATGAAATGAATAAAGCTGTAGTGTAATCCACACAGTGAATATAATCCATACGGTGAAAAACTGCTCAGCCATCAAAAGGAGCAGCCCACTGCCACGCGCAGCACTGTGGGTGAATTTCGCAGGCAGCGAACCTTGAGTAACACAAGTACACCTCGACGAACAAAAATAACATCGGCCCAGGCACACGGTGAGCACCTTGCAGATCCGTCACTGTCACCGTGATGCGGGCTCTGACCCCACAGGCTGGCGAGGCTGATCGGAGCCCGCGGGGCCCTTGGAAACCTCCAGTCCACGTTCTCCCGACCACGCTCCAGCCACGGGCCCCCCAAAGCCCAGGACCCCTTCTCAGAAGAAATTCTTGCCTGCATAAAATAAAATGAGATATATATGATGACAAAGAAAACCAATTATTTTGAAAGTTATCAAATATTAAAAACAGATTTGTGACCTAGAAACACATGTGCTTCTTTATTAACACATTAAATAACACGCCCTACCAGAGGGTCTAATAACTATCATAATTTCGAAGTAGAGAGGGATGGCAATGGCATTTTGAAATTTCTGCAACAACTACAGCGGGAAAGGAAAACATCTGGGACTGCCGTTGGTGACCAAGTTCCTGCGTCGTGCAGCGGATGGACACCCCACACACAGCCACCAACCCAGTCAGCGCCGGGAACAAGTCCCTGCCCGCACCCTCCTGCCAGCCCAGGGCTCCGCTTCCGTTAGAAGTCAGAGGAAACAAAGGTGCAACTTTGTTTTCCCAGCCACGTCCATGGACTTGTCCACACACCCTTTGCCCCCGGTTGAACCCCCCCCCCCCTGGTCCAACCCACCCTTTCTGCACAGGAGGAAGTGGAGGCCAAGGGGAACTTGTGACTCTGGAGCTGCACAAAACTTGAACTCAGACCTTGGCGTCCTGCCCCCACGCCCAGGTCAGCCCTCCGCCCTTCAGACGTGAAATACACAGCAGAGCATTTAGGACGGAGCCCCGCGTGGGGGCCTCCCCGCCAAGCCGTGGATGACGCGATTCCAAGTGCCGGGGCAGGCGCAGGCAGGGATGCTCACGCACACGTGTGCGAACACACGCGCGCACACACACACACACACACACACACACACACGGGCCCTGCGTGACTCCGCAGTGCAGGGCTTGCTGCAGGCGCCCCTGGACCCCCCCACCCCTGCTGGCCCGGCCGGGACGGTGGGAGCCCCCGGCAGCGGTCAGCAGGCCGAGTCCGCGCAGGCTGGCAGCCGGCAGGCCCCCGCCGCGCGCGGCCTCTGCCCGCATTAACTCCCCGCCGGGATAATTCTTCTCCAGGCCTTTTTTTCCGGCCACCAAGTGGGCCTGCCACCACACCGCTGTTTTTCATCTTGTTAATTGAGCCATTTATTTTGCTAAAAGGTGAAACTTTATCAGGGCCCGCGTGCCAAGTGTGAGAGGTGTATTTAATGATACATCAAATGGCCGCGGCTTCAGGTGCCTCGCTGGAGCACGGGGGGAGGGGGGACAGGGGCAGGACAGAACCGCGCAATTAAATGGTGCCGATGAAAGAGATAGCCACGGGTTTGTTCCTGGGCAGGTGGGCATCAGGTGTGTGCAGCGACCTGTCCCTCTATCCAGAGAAACCCCCGTGGTTGGGGCTCAAGGACGGGACCGTACCCTGTTCCTTTCTGTCCCCACGCCATCCTGGTGGCTCTGCCCACGCTGTCCCCGGCTATCAGGCCTGGGCCCAGGCGTCTCCCTCTGCCCCGGCTCCCTGGACCCACTCCTCTCCGCCCCTCCCCTCCACACCCACCCCAGCCTGCCACTGCCTCCCCCCTACTCTGAGGCCAAAGGATTTCTAAAGCCCAGCGCTCAGCAAGTCCTCCCCTGCCCCCAGTCCTTTCAGATAAAGCTCAAGTGCCTTGGGCAAGGGTCTAAGGCTTCCCGATCTGGCACGAGACCCTCCAGACCTCCCCTCCCTCCACCCTCCGGGCCGTCTTAAAAGTCAGCACCTTGGAATAAGCTCCAGCCCAGAATCTGTCCTTCCCCCCTCCCCTAAACCACCAGAATCTCTCAGGACCCCACCCCAGACCCACTGAGTCGGGGCCGGGGCGGGCCTGCAGCACAGGCTACCCGGTGAGCCTCGAGCGGCCAGCCTCGAGAACACGGTTCACATCCTGCTCGCCCTTCGAGGCCAGGCATGCCCGTCGCCTCCTCCAGGAGGGCTTCCCGGTCCCTGCCCCCAAGTCCCTCACTTGCCCTTGGGAGCCCCTCTTCTGGGCTCCTTCTCTGAAAGCCGATGCTGTAATTTTCCAGGGGCTCCACGTCCCGGGTGCTCCTGAGGCCAGGGAGTGGCTGGAACGGCGGGACGCAGCCCAGAGCCCGGGCACGGAGGGTGCTGGTGGGTGTCTGGAGGGCCCTGTGTGGCTCGGACACCCCCCCACACACACACACACACACACGGTGAGGAGACACTGAGGAGAGCTCCCGCCACGAGGCCCAGACTGCGGGTCAGCGATCTGGGGGCCCCGGTCCTGCCCTCGCCACCGGAGCAGGCGTCCAGGCCAGGCAGAGGGGACGGCATGAGGGACCGCAGGTGGCTGGAGACTCCTGGCCGGCGAGGGCAGCAGGGAGGCGTCCAGCCCACTCACGGCAGGCAGCAAAAAGAGCTGGGACCCCCGAGTTCTGCCCAGCCCTGCCGCCTGCCAGCCGGGTTACCCCGGGTGACTCACTCAACCTCTCTGAGCCTGTCTGCCGTCTGTGAAGTGGGCAGTGGCCCTCTGACTCTGACGACGGGGCCACCTTCGCAGTGGGACGCGGGTGCAGCTCAGGCACAGCGCCTGCTGCTGTGGCTTCAGAGGCCACTGTGTCCCTCGAATTGCCTTCTGTCGCTGGGCCGGCCTGTCCTCCCTCCTCTAGCGTGCCCTAAGGAAGCTGGGCCGCCCGTGGCCCGCAAGCCGTGACATCGCGTCACCACGTCTCCCTGCCTGTCCAGAAGAGCCGCGGGGGAGCAGGCGGCCGTCCGCCCGGGCTCCGTGGATGGCTTGTCTCAGGACACAGAGGGACTGCGGGCTGAGGCG